ATATATATAAAATCAACACAATATTCGATCTTCTTACCTTGCAAATATATAGCCTTATTATATCTAATCACTAAATAGCATAAAAAAAATATTTTCTTAAACATTATACAAAAATTTCTTTATGAAATGATTTTTCATTTTATTATTATCTTTTTATGCTACTTTAGTGTTATTATAAGCTTACCGTCTATCAACAAGTGTGTGATCCAACTTATATACAATTATTTTGAGTTTGGAGAATACTTTTGTTAATAGTAGTCTTATTTAATTTGAAAAGGAATATTGTTTCGAGTAAATAACATCTGTACTCTCAAAAATAAAATAAAATAAAAAAATAAAAAAAATTTACTTAAAATTTGTTTTTCTCTCCCTATAATAGAGACTGTAATCTACCACGATATATATACCTCGTTTTGTTCTAATACTGTGTGGTTCATATTGTTTGACATGCACAACACAACTTGCAAATTGCCAGTGAAACATGCTTACGTTTGGTGTTAATTAAAATGGACCACTTCCCTCCTTTAATGAATTTCTTTCTTAGTTCGTCCTTTCTGGTCAGCTTTTTGTGCTTCTGAATTCTATATCAGAGATTCTAAATATACAGTTACCCCAATTCCATTTTTCTTAGTTCATACATTATTTCATTTACTTACGGCACTAGTACTTTTCTTAAAATCAAATGTTATATTTCCACGGTCAATTGATCATGTAATTCTCGTTTTTCTTCTAATTATATGAATAAGGAGTGTAGATTTTTTCTCTCCCTGGATTTATATTATTTCTTTATAATTCATTTTCCTTTTCTTAAGTTAACTCTTTCCATTATATTCGTGTCAAAAAAAAATCCCACTACATCATTTTTTTATCTCATATTTTTCTCTCCTCTTTCTATTTCTTTACGGTGTAAAAAATTGTAAAAGTAAAAAAACAAAAAAATTACTTGTTAACTGTTTGCTTCACTCTTCATTTTGATAAAGTCTTTGCAGATTTGCAGTGAATCGGAGATCACCGGCCTTCTTCTAATTTTATAGTATTAATTTTGAAGGTATTTTCTATTTTTTCGTTTTTATTTATAAAAACAAAAACAAGGTCCAAGGGCAAAAAAACTAATTTATTATTTGTATAAAAATGGCTATAATTATTTACTGGTGAAGAGGTTAGAATGAGAATTTAGATTTGATACTCATATAAATTAAAATTTAACTTAAATTTCGATTTTTTTATAGTGGTATGTTAAAAATAAAATTAAAAAAACACACACACAAAAAGGTCAACTTATAACAAAGTTGTCATTGTTAGAATAGTGGATTAAGCCTAACTCAACCCTACAAAATCAGATTGTAAGGTGAGGGTTGCTTTCCACTTATATACTATTCAATTGTCTAATCTCTAGTCGATGTGAGACTTGAGTTTTTCTCAATAGTCATTTGTGAATAGTGGGGTAAAAATTATAAATATACAAATTCAATTTCTTACTTCTCAACTTTTATCTTTTCCGCCCCTATTATAAGATCTATATTTTTTTTATTGATAAAATAGTGTCTCTTTTTTACCAAATAAATCTTCTTTTTTTTTTTTGGTCAATCTTGTGCTGAGAATAACTTGTATGCATATAAGTCTTTATTGCTACGCTTATCAATCTTATTGTACGCATAACGCATCACACTAATAATTATTTCATCTAATATTTTAAGTTTTAAATTTTCTAATTATATGATATGTGTGTGTGTGAGAGCACACTCAAAATGAAATTGAAAAGCAAGAATGTGGCGTGCAAATTAAGTACGATGCAATTAAGAGAACAGTCAAAGTCATTCAAAGTAATTAACCGCGCCATTTTCTTTTCTTGTTCTTTAATTTAAAGACATGGTTGATCTCGCCTTTTGTAAATTTATTTATTTTTGAATGATTCCGATTATATGAATATAATTTTGATTAAAAAATAATTATATTTTAAAAAATTATCTTAAAAATAAAATTGTGATAAGTTTTAATATAGTTTAATTTTTTACACAACGTGAAACATTCTTTTTTCTTTTACAGTTTATCTCAAAAGTATTGCACACGGTCAATTCTATTCCAAATTATACATATGTATTTATTTAATTACTTTGATGGAAAATGGCGTTAGTCAAAAGCCCCACAACACAACAAGTGCAACTCATATTGGAGGGCTATTATAATTAAAGCTACAAACCTATAAGTAGTCAAGTTTGTTCTCTTTGGGCGGTTTAGGGCAAGCCACAACTTATATGAAATTAAATAAATATTAATAGCCAAAAATAGAATTCAGCCTACCATATTATTTACTCCATCTACCTCACTTTGCTTACTAGTGGAGGGCATTGGATATAGTTTCAACTTTCAATTGCTAAGCCACATTTATTAGGAGGGACAAACCAATGCACTCGTCTCAGGAAAGTCAAATTATGGTGAGAATTTGCTATATTAATCTTTCTGACGACTAATAATAATAAATCATATATAAATAATCACTATGATAAAATTAAGCAACAATAGAGCATGGATTGGAGATGAACTTCCCATTACATCACATAACAGAAGTTGACTAAGACATGCACGAGAGCTGTCAAAGAAAAAGAAAAGAAAATTTCTCCAAATTGCAGGCAATGTTGGCTAAACAATCGCTGCATTTGTTGCATTCTCTAAAAACATTCTTCACTCAAAACCTCAAATCCCTCCCAGCAACTTTTTTTGACAAGCAAGACCCTTTTAATTAATGAATGAATCACTTCAACTTCTTCTTTATCATTAAAAAAACTTTACCTATTTTTTTTAAAAAAAAATTATAAAACTCCTCATCACTTATAAATACTAGATTCATTACTTGAGTGATATAATACGGATTATTTTAAAAACTTGAGTAATGTAATATCTGTCTTTTTCTCATGATGATAATTGTCATATAATTTAGATTGGTTTTTATGTTATGAATCAATAAAATTATGCTTCAATCATGGTATGTATTTCTTAAATAATTTCATTTTATTTAATGATTTATTTGAAAAACTAACTATCCATTTAATGACAATATCATCATTTAATTTTATTATTAAAGTACCGAAATACAGATATAATTTTGTAACTTTATACCACTAGTTGCATCAGATAAAGGCAACTTGAAAATATATAGCTTAAGTAAATTATATATATATATATATAAGTTAATATAATTATTGACCATTTAATTAGCAGAAATAGTACTCACTTATCAGTTTTACGCATTAACAAATTTCTTCACCCTATTGTCCCTACTCCAAAAAAAGAGTTCATGAAATCCATTTTAATAATTTTTCATGTATCTTAAGATTGAATGTTCCCTTTAATCAGTTTTAAATTCTCTTAAATCAAAAGGATTTAGCCTAAATTAATAAAGCGTAAGATTACAAATATGGAAAAGAAAATGAAAATAAAACGGTGTATACCTATAGTTTAATGACTTCTTATTAGGTAGTCTTGGACAAATGCTCGAAAGGAAAGCGTGTGGGTCTGATGAAAGAAATTGGGATTTGGTATTTATAGGAATTCACCAACTGTAGCTGCAAACAATTGTTAAAAAGTTCGTCCAGCTAAACCAGCACCATCATAATAAAGACCCAACACGCCATGATTGTTAAACTATCTGTTTGATTAATTGTAATTAAGCCTGAATTGTCATGGCAACATACATTTTCACAATTACAAGTAGAACTTAATATTACAATTTCCAATTTTATTTTTTTTTATCCATAAAAATTCCATTATCGATATTAGAGTTCAAATTTAATATTTTATGCATGTTATCACAACCTTAACCACTAAGTCTACCCCATTAATTAATCTTTAATTTTAATTTTAATTAACACAAATAATTCATACATTCATTTCTATATTTTAAAAGAATTTGACAAATCAAAAATATTTTACCCTTACAAATATAGAGATTTAGGGCGATTCTTTGACTTGAAACATGAGGTAGAGACATATTACTCCTTGAGACTATCCAAACTATCATATCTTGGTATGATAAAATTAAGTTTCCGTATACCATTAAACATAATAATATGGTTGAACTTGATAGATTAATTTGTCAATTTGCCTATTCTTTGTGAGTTTGAGTTAGATAATAAATTCATCTACAGATAAACCTATTAATTTGATAGGTCAATCCATTGATCCATTTTTCTTTTGTTTTATGCTTTTAAAAAATAAGATTGTAATGAATTCATGCTGTATTAATATTTTTATTTTATAACTTAACTTTTATTTTCTATGTACTTATTTTTATTTTATATGAAATAAAAATATATTATTTTAATAAATTTTTTACTAACACATTTTGATTATAGTGCCTAGTTTTAATAAAAAATATATTCCCTTAACTCTTTACATGAAAAAAAAAAAAACCTTTGATCAACTTTACAAATAATAATGATATTATATGTTAAACTTGTAATGCATGTTGAAATGTTTTTTTTTTTTATATAAATTTGAATGAATTTAAAGTAGATCAATTAAAGAAAAAATCTCAATCCATCGATTTTAACTCACCAACTTTCGCCAATCCACTACCAAGTGAAATAGATTACATTATTAAACCTGTTTTCCTTACTCACTTTGTCATCCTTACATATCGTTCAGCTGAGAGCCCATTGGAACGGCAGGAAAAATCAATACAACTATTTTTTTTTCTTGTTTACCAAAAATGAATCACAATTATCAAGTGATTGTTAAATGGGGTAGCAAAGTGACATGATACTCAATTAAGCTTTGGCATTTACAGTTTTCTTATGGTACATTAGGCCACCGAAAATGCCATTATTCTCTTGGTTTCAGATATCAGTCCAAGCAGTCATTTTGTCAACACTATGGGCCAGTTCGGTGAGCAGAAAAATTCGCAAACGAGACTCCAATACATCTTTATAAACAAAAATGATCTATGAATCTTATTAAATGATGAATTGTGTATACAAAAGAATATAGATTACCTTGGGTAGTAAAGAAATTGAAAATTTTCATATGATGAAAAACCAAAAGCCAGAGTAAAACAAGCTAACTTTTAATTTAGTTTCATGGTGATTAAGATACTAGGAAGACACGGCATAAAAGCTGAGCGGCCAGGAACAAATTGTATGTCAAATAACAAATAGAAAGTGACACCAAAATTATTATCTGTATGTGGATAAATATTACACTTTAAGTGCATATTTTCGCAGTGGAAAATACAATTCCTTCTTCTTCTCACGCTCTGTCTTCAATGATACCTGTATAAAAAATTAGAGCAAATTCATGAAGCTACGTTAAATAAGAACCCTATACCGCTATACGGCCAGCAATATCTATCTCATTCATCAACTACAGATTGGACAACAATCTACAGAAAACATCAGAAGGGAACATTATGCTAATTACGATAAGCCCCCACAAATCAAAACAAGTAAACACCAGCCAAATAGAGACTGGACAACAATCAACCAGCATTTTACTCAACTCAAGGCCAATACTGATCTATGACACGTTTGGAAAGGAGCTGAAGCAAAGGAGGTATTGAAAATTGAAAACATGCATGGTACACAATACATCATTTCCATGATTCTTTTATCTTTTGTCAATCAACGAGTAATTTGAGGACATTACAAAATAAAATCCCCTAGACATTATCTATCAGCACTTCATCCAATTCACTTCTTTCTCTTTCAACCATAGCAATAGCAATTAGCAAACATAACAACATAATAAACAGAAAAATGCAACGAATGCAGGAAGAAAAAAGTACCTGGTGCTTGGTGAGGCGTCTTCTGATAGCCCTAGTCTTCTTGGGACGCAGATCCAAAGGCAAGTACTTTTTGTTCTTGTAAGCCTCCCTCAACGCTGCTTTTTGCTTCTGGGAAATCACCGTCAGCACCTGCGCTATCGAAAGCCGAACCACTTTTCTGCATTCACACGCAACAATTGCATTCGAATTTGTAATCAATTCAACTATATTAGGAATTATGGATTCGATATGAAACAGAGAGAGAGAGAGAAGGCACATTTTGGAAAGCTTGTTTGGGGCTCCGCCAGTGACCTTAGCGACGCGGAGAAGAGCGAGTTCTGCTTTGAGATCCTTCAATTGGTTGAGAAGCTCTGCTTTGGTTTTGTTCCTCAGCTCGTACACCTTCATTCTCGCCATTGCCAAACCCTACCTACCTTCACTCCTCTCCCCTAAAACCCTCATCTAATGTGCCCAAAAAACAACACATAACACAACACGGCTTAACCTATCAAGTGGATCTGGGCCCTTTTTGGGCCAAATCAGAAACTGGACCTCAGCCTCAATCACAAGGCCCCTTTTTTTTTCGTATTTGTAATTTTACTTTTTAAATATAATATTTTTCGCATATCACTTATCTTATATTGTCTCCGGTACTTATTATGAGCCGATGAAATCTTTTGGACTTTTCATAAGGCATCTTATAATTTTTAAAAATTATTAATTTTTTCTTTATTTACTTCTATTTAAAATTATCTGAATGTGTGTGTTTTTTTTTTCTCACTTTTTAAACTCTCTCCAATTGATATTTATCATTTTTGTTGGTATTAATGTATAAGTTTTGATATGGATAAGATTTTCATACATCATAAAAATTTAATGATAAAAGGATAAAATTGGTAAATTATGATTTTATTTTATAAATTTAATAGAATCAAATAATATAATTATTTACATTAATCTGTACGATTTCGTTAAAAGTATCTTGTAATAAAAATTAGAAGGAATAATTGATATTTTTTAAGTTGTGCCGCATGAAATTTGTTTATTTATTTGTAATAATGTAATAATAAATTTTGAATCTAAGACTTAATATATATTATTAAACCTCCCAATTCAACTTATATTAGTATATTTGATTATATATTACGCTAAAAAGGTGAAAATCTTAATTAAAACTAAGTTAATCATCATGCATTTAAAAAGGTTAGATCACATCTATAAATAATACATCAAAATTAAATTTTGATTTAATAGAAAGCCTATAAAAAGATTATAATAAATCATAGATCTAAATTATTTTTTAATTTTATAGAATATGTTGGACCTATATATCTAAAATTTGTCTTAAATTATTTATTTCCATACTTATGATAAGGGAGGGAGCTGCTGTGATGGTTTAATTAACATGATGGATATATTTTTTTGTTGATGTGTATTATAACTCATTAATGAATATTACACATATTAGAATATTTTCTAAAACATTAATATAAAATTATAATTTACTAAAATATTTAAATTCTAATTCTATTTTATGGACTAAACTCGTGGAAGTTATGATGAGATAATTTCGAAAAAGGCTGAGCTGTACTTTTTAATTGTGGCTTAATTAGTTGATAAGAAAGAGATTCTTGTCAATCTTTTTACAACAAACTTCACACTATATATTGGGAGCAGAAGTGGAAGTTAACGAAAATCTTTTTCAAGTTTGAACTCCAACAGTGAAATAGAAAAAAGAAATGGGTCGACTTGTTTGGAAAGAGAAGGATAATTTAGCTGCGACGAATATAGTTGAGAAAAAGAAACGGGTCCACTGGACAAGAGAAGAACACTGGTATGTGTGTGAAAGAACTACATTTTGCATTTCTTTTTCTCTTAACAACGGTTTTTCTTGGATTTTTACTCCATGCGTTGCTTCTTTCTTGTTTTTCCAAATATATGATCACATTTCTTGAATGTTAAAAAGAAAAAGATTCTTGTTTTCAATTGTTAGGAATAAAGATTTTGAATATATATCCATTCTTTTTTGATGACAGGTTATTTCTGAAAGGCGTACATAAATATGGTAGAGGAAATTGGAAACACATTGCCCTGCATGTTGTGAAGACAAGATCTTCCAGCCAAATTGCTAGCCATGCCCAAAAGCATTATCTCCGCCAAGAAAGTGTCAAACAGAACAAGAAGAGGAAAAGATCAAGCATCCATGACATGACATTAGACTCTCACTTGCTCTCTTTAATTTGGAACAATTTTCCAATCCAATCCCTCAAACAGAAAAAAATGCCACACTCACCAAGTCATCACAACTCCACAGATCAACCCAACCCAATCCAACAATTACCATGTCACCACCAACTTCCCCTTTTCATTGACCAGCATTATACCAGGGTTCAACACCACCTTGACCAACACATGTTACAAGAATTAGAACAAGAGTTGAATCCACCACATAATATTTCACGATATGAAATGAGAGGCTTCAAGAATTGTGACTTCATGTAAGAAGAGTTAGATACTGTGTGATGGTCACTTGTTATGTCTTGTACTCTCTTCAGAATAAGTCAATAACACACATTCTACCTGCCCATTTCATTGAATCAATGAAATTCTGGAAATTTGATTGTATCATTTTTTTTCTTGAATAACACATCGTGGGTGTATCATTTTTTTTTATTTGAGGGATTGGATTGGAAAATTGTTCCAAAAAGACCAAGTGAGAGTCTAACGTTATGTCATGGATGGTTGATCTTTTTCTCTTCTGGTCCCTATTTGACTCTTTCTTGGTGGAGATAATGCTTTTGAGCATAGCTAGCAAGTTGGCTGGATTCACTAGAAGATTGTTAGAAAAAAAATATCAGAAAGGAGTCTTCAAAATCTGAGAAGATTGTATTACTCTTGACACACATCAGAGACACGAATTGAATCGGTAGTTTCTTTATCTAATTATAGTAGTGTAACTCTTAAGTATTAATTACATCACTTCTTATTAACATCATAACAATAACTCCTCAATTACTTAGTTGTTACCAAATAATAATATTGATAATGCATTTTAACTCATAATAACAAATTTTTATTTTCTAATTATTACTAATAGATATTCTTCTGTTTGTGTTTCTCAATTAAACTTGTTGGTTTATCTTAGATCTACACTAGGACATGACATATTTGTGGTTATAAGTGATATAATTATCTATTATGATTGATACACTTTGTGGATATTCAAATAGTAGTAGAACTGCTCACATATTTAAAATTTTATACTCACTCTATATGAATATGTACACTATGATGGATATTTAATGTTGCATGTGACACTCATTTTATCACTTTTAATTGGATGAATGAATATATCATTTCTAGATGCTCTTTTTGTGTTTGCATTTGGCAGTGACACAGACTCATAACTGGACGTGTGCATGGCTTGTTTTGTATCATAGGTACTCCCTCACTTCTTTATTATAAGAAAAAATAATTGGATGTATTAATAAAGTTAGTTATCTACATTAAATTTTATTGATTTATATTTTTTTTTTGTTATCTTTGTTATAAATGTTAAAAGAAATAATGTAATTAAAATATCATACATTAAAAAAGAAATATTTTAAGGAGAGTATTATAAAAATAATTGAAATTTGTTTATATATAAGTAAAAAAAATATTTTTTTATATATTAGAGAAGAGTACCAAATAGCTAATATTGTATTTTATATACCGTGATAACAAAAGAAGCAGCCATTTGCAAAATTTCAAAACTAAATGACCATTACACTAATAATATAATCTACCCTCACTCTTTCTTCTCACACAAACTTGTGTAATAGGAGGCCAATTAACCTAAGTTGGTGATACTAATGCTGCTAGTTGCAGGCTTCTGGAAAATAATTAAAGTCGTTAATTCCATAGGGTGACATATCATGTGGCTGACATAGGTCTTGTAACATGTAACATGTGGTCAAAGTTACAAGTGTTGATCGAAGTTACACGTGTTCCTGGCTAGTTGACGAGCTTGACAAACTTATAAAGAGAAACAAAGAGGGAAGAAATATAGCAAGACATAGGAATTTGAAGAACTCACATCTTTAAGGGCCTTAAAAGATCGACTGCAACTAGACAGGGTACGTTTCTTTTTGCACCCACGCAGAAATTAACGAGAGTCCATGTGCACTAGTACGTTACCCCAATACTTTTGCCTATTTATTCTATTTTAGTTTTAAGAATCATGCTCTAAAAGAATCACAACAAGCTTGTCAGATTAGTTTTATTTCATTGGAAGAATAAAAATTACTTATGCACCACAGCCTGAAGATAGTAAAATAAAGATAAATGGCAGGGTGAGAATTAATTGGGAAACAGAAAAAACACGTAATGATTAATCTATATATGCGCCATGCATGCCCTTTTGCCTAACAAAGATGCAACTTCTTTGTAATGATTTATTATACTATGGGGAAGTTTAAACATGAAACACTGATAAATTAAGACAAAAGTTGGCAATGATCAAGCTGGATATGCAGTAATTTAACAGCTTTATTTCATTAAAATGTATAATCTTAATGCTCAAAATTCAAGAATTGAATGTGAAGAGGAGCAACCTTCAAGATTTCGCAAAGTGATAATTTATTTAAAGCAAGTTCTTTATGGAAAAGTACCTGAAGTCCCGAACAAACACTGTCACACTGCCCTATGTGCAACAATGATATGTCCATAATGAAGTTGGTTGTCCTTAAAAAAGCTTTGTTGATTCCACAACTCTCACAGCAAATTAGATGAGCCCTCAAACTTGGAAAAAAAATAAATAAATAAAACTTACATGCAATATCGTAAGTATTGTTAATATTATTAAAATTTAATACAGTAATATATATAATAAATTCTTTTATTAAGTGTTATGTTAAAGCAAAACTCCAATTCTGACGAGAGAAATGAACTAGGAGTAGTATTGATGCATTTAAGTTTTGTGAAGAGAAAAGATAAAATGGTGTTGAAGATGGGATTCATATCATACGTTTTTCAAAGGAACTAGCCCACTACTTTGCAGAGAGACGTACACGTACATAGTACTATTTTAATTTTTTCACTCACCTTTCCTTTTCCCTCCCATCCTCCTTCAAGTTCAAAGTTAAAAGCAAGTTTAGTTGGCCTCATTGGGAAGGTCTTAACTCTTCAAACTCTTCGTTCATCCACTTCACAGCAAACCATTTCTCTCAACTCAAACATATCACAGCGAGCCATGAAAGGAATGAATCTGTTCTGCACTTCCACAGCAGTAACCTCTAGCACAGATCACCATTCCAAGGCACGTAGAAGCACCAAAAGGATTCGAAGGAAAAGCCAACTTGGCGTCCCTTGTTCATTCAGATTGCCTATTAATCCTAAGCCTCATAGCGAGAAGCACAGAAAGAGCTCAGCAGATAAGCAAAACGGTGACGCACGCAGAAAAAGCTCCGTTCAACTTAACAACCTATATAATAGTTCATCATCCTCTAGATATCTCCTCAGTGACACACCCTTCATTGATTGGGTGTCTGAATCTGATAAAATCCCCTCACACAAGCCCACCCTGCAAAATCAGGTTGTGGTTTTGAGGGTGTCATTGCACTGCAAGGCCTGTGAAGGAAAAGTTAGAAAACACATTTCAAAAATGGAAGGTCAGTCTTTTTCCTTCAATCCACTTTATAATAAATAACTCATGCACAATCCTCAACAAACATAGTTAAACTCCATTGGTAATGGAAGATCAACTTCCATACTATTTTTGGATCATCGTGTTATCTGATGTTCGAATCTATATACTTTGTTGATAATTTTCATTTTCGTTCTATAGAATCTTAAATAATGTTAACTACATACATATAATTGTAATAATTTCCACATTTTGATTAAAACATATATATCTTGTTAGATATTCATCCTTGTGGGTTTTATGGTTTCTTCAAAGCTTAAGAAAGTCAAAATTTATGTGGATGAATCTAATGATATAATTGACTAATAGTATTATATATGTGATTATGTGTATTGTGTAGGAGTAACATCATTCAATATAGACATGGAGGCAAAGAAAGTAACGATAATTGGACACGTGACACCATTAGGGGTTTTGGCAAGTGTGTCCAAGGTTAAGAAGAATGCGCAGCTATGGCCATCTCCAACTTCATCATCCTCATCATCTTTGCCATCATTGCCGATGTACGGCTCTATGGTCAACGCGAGTTAAATAAAAACTAACACGTAACTTTGTTGTTTGGTATGTATTATGTAACAGTTTTTATTGATTAATTACAAAGTTTGATGACCTGTCAAGCTTATAATGTTTGTGGAGTAAGATGTGTGAAAGGAATGCAGCTTTTTGTTGTTGTTTAGTGTTTTGTGATTGCTGAAGTTGAATGGTTTTTCAGTCCAATGTTTTTCTCTGTCTAACTAGCCCTCACCAAGAACTATAATTGTAAGTGATCGTATGATTATTGCAGTTAAATCAAAAGGTTCATGAGTATCAATCAGTGGCTTCAATTTCCTTTTTACTGTCAATGTTGTACTACCTCCCCTCCCAGCAATGCGACAGTAATGAACAGAGTACACTTTATGGTTGCATGGTTATGGTCTAGATCAAATTTGCCGGTGGTGGGGCTATATATTTTTCACGCCTTGTGTTTCATCTTTTTTGCTGTAGTTTGGAATATGATCCATTTAAACAATTTATGAGACAAAGCATTATGTGGAAAAGAAGAGAGTTCTATTCTATCTAACTTTAGTTTGCTGAATTTACTTTCCTTAGCGACCCGTTTGGTTGCTTTTATCTCTTTGACTAAATCATGGACGGCTGGAAAAGGAAAATGCCAGAACAAGTTGAAAAAAACATCTATGACCTATGCATGAACAGATTTGTTGGCATCAAATGATTAACCTCGTCTCATTATAACCGAATGATAACATTTGTTAAATGCTCACTATTATAATTTACTATACACTATCGGTGCATAGAATTTTTTTCTAATAAAAAAATATATCACAAGAAATTATATATGTAAAATGTTAAACCTAAAGTCTACATGGATATAAGCTAAAAAAGCTTTTAAGACTTTTTTTTTATAAAGAAAACTCTTTATTTTTAATAGAAAAGTTATTAAAAAAAAAAAAAAACTCTTATATGCTAGTTCTAAAAATGCTCCTAGTTGATGTGACTAATATCCCATAATATGGTAAAGCTAAGATTCAAATTCATGGTAAATTATTGATGTAATAGCCTAAATACACTAGAATGAGAAAGATTTATAATTTTATTCAAGTGCGAAATTATATAGTAGAGAATGACTTAAAGAAATTAATTTAATTAGTATTATCTATACCGATAAGATACATATACTTTTCGGTACATAGCTCATTATTGAAACATTCTATAATTAAGTATGCTTGACTTTGAGCGATTTAAGATGAACGACTTTCTAGGACAACATTTCAAAAAGTATGTGAATGAGTACAAAGCAGGCTAAAAATCTTGTGTTGGTTCGTGGAAATAGGACAAAACATGCTAAAAAAGTCTTATGTTAGTTTGTGGGGACAATCATTGATCCTAAAGGCAATCAACATCTCAAAAAGGGTTATGTATGGAGGGTTTTGACTAGTGAAGGGTTTTAACTAACGAGGAGTTATGTGAGTGTTATCATGTGAAGCGTCCTGAAGTGGAAGCGTTGAAACATCAAATCTAAGAAGTGTTACAAATGGTATCCAAGTTTGGTTCTCTCTTTTAGTACGGTATGGTTCGAAGACGAACAAGGTGGAACCTAGTGGGCTTCTAATAGACTGAGCACACCAGAATAAGAGAGTTATAGAGATTTATGCAAGTGTGAGACTATACAATTGATGATGACTTAAAAATATTAATTAATACTACTTATACCAACAATATGCATTTAGTTTTTGGTAGTTCATCACTTAAGAACTTCACAAAGTGTGCTTGACTTGAAGTGATTTAAAAATCAGTGACCTTTTAAAAAGTTTTCCTAGAAAGTATGTGAGTGAGGAGAAAAAATAGATTTTGCCTTCAAATGAAAACATACATGGAAAAAAATGGTATTAATGTAATAATATTTAATACTGTTAATGAATTATTAATGTAAATTAAAAATCAGTTTATTGATGTAAACATATAAAATTAAATTTAATAAAATTATTAAATTTTATATTTATTAAATTTAATAAATACAATAAATATTTAATTATTACATGACTTTTCATCTATCTATATACATATTAACTTTGCTATTAAAACGCACAAAATATATTAATGTAAAATATTTAATGAAATATATAAATAAATATTTTTGTTGCTTGTATAGTATTAATTATTGGCTTTATTAAATAAAATATAATTAAATAAAATAACATAATTAAATATTATATATTTATTAAATTAATAAATAAACAAAAATTTAATTATACACTAATGAATTATTTATGTAAATATATAAATAAATATTTTTATTACTTATATGGTATTAATTATTGGATTTATTCAATAAATATTGTATAATATATAATTAGACTTGATAATGTAATACTACTAAAGTTAACTTAATGGTTGAAAAAGAAGTTAAGATAATAAAAATACGAGAATCTAATGGGGTTGTATTGGATTATGATTTTAAAGGACTTTTTTAGTTAAAAAAAATCCTGCAGGTTTTAAAAGACTTTGTAAGATTTTCATGACTTTTAAGATTTTGCAGGATTCTACAAGACTTAAAATCAGGATTTTAATAGATTCTGCAAGACTTTTAAATCAAGATTTTAATGGATTCCGTGGGATTTTGTGGAGTTTTGACATTTGATAAGATTTAAAAAAAAAATTATACATTCAAATTTTAAAAGAGTCAAAGACAAAAATAATAAAAAAGAACAATAATGTTTAGATAAATAATAATAATAATTCTCCATAATATCCTATCCTCTTTTTATAGCATCCACTATCAATTGTAACAATTCATCGGAATCCTCCTTGGTCCAAACTTCATAGTTTTCTTTCTCTTTTCCTTTTTCTTTATTATTTCCTTATAAATCTCCCATTTGAATTACTAAAACAATATATGTTGAAAACTAGTTATATAAATAATTATGGATAAGAGACAAAACCAATAAAATTATATTATTATTTTTAGAAGCACATTAATCATACAAGATCGAATATATCTTGGCTATCCAAATGAATCAAATACCTCAGTCATTATAAAAAAAATGTAAAAACGAAAATATAGAAACATAAGATAATTTTTTATATAAAAAAATCAGTATATTCGATACTAAAAAAATATTTAGATATATAACTTTTTATATATAAACGGAAGTATTTAGATATAGAGAATATATATATGTATATATATACTATTTTAGTTATATATTATATGATAATTTTTAACAATATTTATAAATGTAAATTATTCTAACAAATATTTTAACAATATTTCTTTTTTTAAAAAATAAGCTAATGAAGGCATAAATCCTAAACCCTAAAAAATTAGATACTGTAATGTCTTATGTTAATTTTTTTTAAAATATAAAAAAATATTAATTTCACAATATAAAAATAAAAAGAAAAATTCATAGTAAAAAAATAAAATAATTGTTGAGTCATAAAAGGAGGAAGGATAAGAGTAACAAATTCAAGGGAAGGAGAGAATTCGCAGTTTTTATGGTGAGAGGGTTCTTCCCCCAACTAAGATCTATTTTCATCTCATTCTACTCACAGAAACCCTAACAAATTCATCTTATATATATATATATTGTAGAGATTATGATATCAATTTCATCTTTCACCTTTTTCTTTTCTTGACGTATGTTATAAAAAAAATTACCACTTAAAAGTTGAAATTTCAAGCATTTTTTTGTGTTATATAAAGGATCAAATTCAACTACATAGAATAAAATAAAGCAAGTCAATTAAAGAGAACGAACAGAAAAATAGAGCAAGTCAATTAAAGAGAACGAACATAAAAATAGAGCAAGTCAATGACACTATCATTTACATATCAGAGTTTCACAAAATAGGGAAATGGGATGAGAACAGTACTACAATATTATATATGAGCAATGAACAATAGTGTAGTATTATTAGTAGAGAAAAAATGGAGAAGACAGGAGCATATGAAAAAAAAGATGAAAAACTCACTTGAAAATTCTTGAAACACTTGAAAAATCACTTCAAATAATCTTTCAAAATCCAATGGGTTTGGATGGGATTGTTTTATGAATCTGCTATTTATAGATAACACTAGAAAGTCCTTCAAAATCCCTTTCACACAACAATCTTTTAAAATCCTTATATTTTTGAATACCAATGGATTATTTTTAAGTTGTAAAAAATTTCAAATGAATACTAATAGATTTTAATGGACTCTTTAAAAAATCTTGAAAATCTAGATTGAATACCACTGAATTGTTTTTAAGTGATATAAAACCCTGATTGAATACCAATAGACTTTTTTACTCAAAAAAAGTTTTTTAAAATCCTACGAAATCCTAAACCAATACACCCCTAAATTTGATCATATATCAACCATCTTTATAATATTTTTTTTCTTTTAAAAAATGTAACATAGTAACATACTTTAATATTATATATTTATTAAATTTAATAAATGCTTAATTACACACACTTTCACTAAAAATATACACACACCAAAAAAATTCCTCCATATATAAATTAGAATATTTCAACTAGGTATTTTTAATCCACCATAACTTACCAAAATAACCCTTAAAAAATTACTATTCAATATTTATTTTAGTTTATATATAAAGAGTATAATAAATAAATAATTTATATTTATTTAAAAAATTAATTTTTATTGAAATATGTGAACGCACACAAAATAGCTAGTATTTAGTATATAATTAGAAATCAAAATAATAACAAGTAATTAAATTTAAATATTTATATAGTATTTAATATTGTTAGTTTAAAAATTAATATAATATAAAAAACCAAAATGACTATTTAAGTATTTATCACGTAGAACATTGGAAAGAAGGGAGCATAAAAAGAGGAGTTGTTGGAATGGCTTGTCATGGACACGGTGACTAGTAGCATGGATTTCTGGCAAGTCTTGATTTAAATAATGGCTTTTGTTTAATTTTTATATAACTGATGAAATCATATCATTTGTGGATATATACACGTGCAATAATTTGAAGGTGGGGTTCAATATGCTTGTCCGAGAAACGCTATCACACGTTAATTCCTATATGATTGATGAAATTATAACGTTGAGAATCGGTATAATGTGTAATAGGTTTTATGTTCTAATTATAGACAAAATATAAAATAATAAAGTTATATCATAATTTAAATTATTTATTATTAATATTTTAGCATATAAAATACACACAATAATTATTTATCTTATATAACTAAACTTTATAATAAGTAAATGTTTCTGATTATATGTATTATATCATTCTCTCTCTCTATATAAAATAAAATTATCATATGCAGAAGTATTTTTAAAAGTTTTTTTTTAACAAGAATAACTTTAGATATTTTTTATACATTTTCTTTTACAAATTTTCACAATTTTTTAATCTATTTTAATTTTATTTGTCATTTTATTTATAATTAATTTTTAATATTTTAAAAATAAATTAAAAATAATATTGTTTCATAAATATAAATTATTAATCACAAATCAAAATATAATTTATATTTTCAAAATATTTACTTATAATTTTTTTAAAAAAATATTATTAAAAATATTATCTTATAAACTTTAAAAATATAATTAAAATATTAAAATATAATATTAATTTATATATAACTTATTATAAATTTTAGTTATATAATAAAATTTTAGTTTTTGAAATGCATATGTAAAATACTCGTTATAATTGAAATTTATAATAAATAAATATTTTTGAATATGTGAATTATATTTCAAAATTTATGCTGAATAATATTTATAAAAAAAATATTATTTTCAAACATTGATAATATTTTTTTTGAAAAATATTGAAATAAATATGAAAATATATATTCAAATAGATAAGAAGATAAAAAAAATATTAGAATAATTATAAAAAAAATTTATATATATAAAGATAAGAGATTAAAAAATACTTAAAAAGTAAATATAAAAATAATACAGTAAAATAATATTCAAATTTTAGAAATACATCATACATTTTATTTTAAATATTCAATTAGTGTATGTTAATGATAAAAGCGTTCATTTAACACAAAAAGAATATAAAGAGACACATGCACTTAAGAAGTGTAAAATTCACCTTTTAATAAGAAAAAGATTATTCAAATGAAAATAAAGTAGGCTAAATGTTTAATAAATGACCAAAAAATTATATTTAAAAAGTATATATACAAAATTTGAATATAAATTATATTTAAAATTTGTATAAATAGATATTTTAACATATAAAATATGTTTTAAATTTATGATAGATAATTTATATTATAATATAAAATTATTTATAATTATGATAATTTATTTAAAATATTAAAAATGAATTAAATAAAAATTTAAAACAATCCATAAAATCTGTGGACAAAGGATAGCTTAGATAAGAATGAATTAAAGAAAAAATAAGAAAAAACTTAATGAGGCTTTTATAGGAGTTACAGATAGAATGATAGACAGAAAAAAATAAAGAAAAACAGATTTGATCCTTAATTATCCATGATGTAAAACTGAAGTTGTTTTGATGGAAAAAAAGATAATGAAAAAAACGTGATTATGACAAGGATTGATTCCACGGATATTGAGTGTTATGTTTTTCTGTTACAGATAGCTCTATATATACGTATACGTATACCTTAGTCGCTGAGTTTTGACGCAGTTGATACATTCCAATTTCCAAAACCCCTTTCTGTCTTGATTCCGATGGAGATTGATCTCACTCCCCAGTTGCCGAAGGAGCTTTACGGAGGGAATGGTGGGTCCTACCACGCATGGTCCCCCTCTCAGCTTCCCATGCTTGGCCAAGGTAACATTGGTGCCTCCAAGCTCGCTCTTCACACAAATGGATTCGCACTTCCTCGTTATTCTGACTCTTCCAAAGTCGCTTATGTTCTCCAAGGTATAATACCTTCATTCACTTGGGATCATAAACTTCCCTCCTTTCAATAAACTAATATATTTTTAATTTCTTTAATAACTATTTATATAATTTCATTAGTTTAGATGCTCTATTCGGTATATTTATAAGTTACATTTATTCAATTTCTAAACGATCCACAATTAGTGTATTTGAAAACACTTTCGACACTACAGGCTGTGGATCTCCAAACACGTACTATAAAAGTTACGTGATTTCCAATTAGCAATACAGTGTAACATTACTAGAAATTGATATATAAAATTGTACCTTAAAAATGTGATGTGAGATACTATGTATTCACCCAAGAAAATTATACTCATTATTTTAAGTGATTTTGTATTATGAAGTTATGTTGTTGTATTGATTATTTGTGAACTTATGTTCTTGAATCAGGAAGTGGAGTGGCTGGAATAGTGGTGCCCGAGTCAGAAGAGAAGGTTGTTGCGATCAAGAAGGGTGATGCCTTGGCACTGCCCTTTGGTGTTGTGACATGGTGGTATAACAAGGAAGACACTGAGTTGGTTGTTCTGTTCCTTGGAGACACTTCCAAGGCTCACAAGGCTGGTCAATTCACTGACTTTTTTCTAACTGGATCCAATGGAATCTTCACGGGCTTTTCAACTGAGTTTGTGGGCAGGGCTTGGGACTTGGAAGAGAGTGATGTCAAGACCCTTGTTGGAAAACAATCTGGCCAAGGCATTGTGCAGCTGGAAGGAAACATAAGCCTTCCGGAGCCTAAACAGGAGCACCGGGATGGCATGGCCTTGAACTGTGAAGAGGCTCCATTGGATGTTGACATCAAGGGTGGTGGAAGGGTTGTGGTGTTGAACACCAAGAATCTTCCCTTGGTTGGTGAGGTTGGACTAGGGGCTGATCTCGTGAGGTTGGATGGAAGTGCTATGTGTTCTCCAGGATTCTCTTGTGATTCTGCTCTGCAGGTTACTTATATTGTCAGGGGTAGTGGCAGGGTTCAGGTTGTTGGTGTTGATGGTCGTAGGGTTTTGGAGACAACCATACAAGCTGGTAATTTGTTCATTGTGCCAAGGTTCTTTGTGGTCTCAAAGATTGCTGATCCTGAGGGAATGGAGTGGTTCTCTATCATCACCACCCCTAAGTAAGTCTTTATGATATTACTTCTTTACCTTATTGTCAGTACATGTTATTTGTGGTTGTTATACATTTCATTGCAGAAGTAATCATCCATTTGATATTCTCTTTGTTGCTTACATAATTGTTGTATTGATTATTTGTGAACTTGTGTTCTTGAATCAGGAAGTGGAGTGGCTGGAATAGTGCTGCCTGAGTCAGAAGAGAAGGTTGTTGCGATCAAGAAGGGTGATGCCTTGGCACTGCCCTTTGGTGTTGTGACATGGTGGTATAACAAGGAAGACACTGAGTTGGTTGTTCTGTTCCTTGGAGACACTTCCAAGGCTCACAAGGCTGGTCAATTCACTGACTTTTTTCTAACTGGATCCAATGGAATCTTCACGGGCTTTTCAACTGAGTTTGTGGGCAGGGCTTGGGACTTGGAAGAGAGTGATGTCAAGACCCTTGTTGGAAAACAATCTGGCCAAGGCATTGTGCAGCTGGAAGGAAACATAAGCCTTCCGGAGCCTAAACAGGAGCACCGGGATGGCATGGCCTTGAACTGTGAAGAGGCTCCATTGGATGTTGACATCAAGGGTGGTGGAAGGGTTGTGGTGTTGAACACCAAGAATCTTCCCTTGGTTGGTGAGGTTGGACTAGGGGCTGATCTCGTGAGGTTGGATGGAAGTGCTATGTGTTCTCCAGGATTCTCTTGTGATTCTGCTCTGCAGGTTACTTATATTGTCAGGGGTAGTGGCAGGGTTCAGGTTGTTGGTGTTGATGGTCGTAGGGTTTTGGAGACAACCATACAAGCTGGTAATTTGTTCATTGTGCCAAGGTTCTTTGTGGTCTCAAAGATTGCTGATCCTGAGGGAATGGAGTGGTTCTCTATCATCACCACCCCTAAGTAAGTCTTTATGATATTACTTCTTTACCTTATTGTCAGTACATGTTATTTGTGGTTGTTATACATTTCATTGCAGAAGTAATCATCCATTTGATATTCTCTTTGTTGCTTACATAGATTGGATATTTGTCCTAACCATATTATTTGTGCGTCTACCTTCTCCAATGTTTAGGAACCTTACCCTCTTGCGATTGATTTATGCTAGTCCTAAGATTTTTTGACCAACGATTGGCGTATAGAACCCATCATAATTCATAAATGAAAAAATACCTGATCCTAATACTTGCAAGGAATGTTTATATTGGTTGGAAAATGAAAACTCAATTAGTGAACAACTATTCTGTATTATTGCATGCATATTGTAACAATTGATTGATATATTTGATTGTTAAAGGCATGCTAGCCTCATCCATAAAGGGGTGAGGTTTATTTTTATCCATCAGAGTCAACCTAAGTGATGAAGAGACACACAATCTGGTCAACCAACTGAATTAGATATTCCTGATATTGATATCACCTCTTAATTAGTTTCATGTATGGTATAACATGCAATGGTACTTTTACTAATCCTTATGATTCATTCTTACTTTTGGCAGTCCTATATTTACCCACCTGGCTGGAAGTTCTTCTGTGTGGAAGGCTTTATCACCCACGGTTCTACAGGCTGCTTTCAATGTAGATTCAGGAGTTGAGAAACTCTTCCGTTCAAAGAGGACTAACGATGCTGTTTTCTTCCCTCCACCAAAGTAGAATAAACATTCCATTGCTTGGTGTAAAGATTCCCCACCCCATTCCCTCTTATCGATCTAGATGGAAAATGAAAGGCTTTATATGCTCTAAGAACTCGTTATCTGGAAGGGGAAATGTGTTGAGGAATTAGTGGAATTACTTTACAGTTTTAAAGTATTTTCTTTTAATGAGGCATTTCAACTTACAACCTCTTCTGTATTTTTTTTTACGTGTCTTTATTCTTATCCTTTTTTACATTATTAAAATATATATGTATGCTTGGTTTATCTTATCGAAATAGTAGCAAATATATTTTTATCAAACTTGAACTGCTTTTCTGTTTTTTCCTTTTCTACTCTTTTCACTTCTATATCATTTTACACCTGCACAAACTTTTGCAGCTTAATTATAACAGTGAGCATTTAACAAATGTTATCATTGGGTTATAATGAGACGAGGTTAATCATTTGATGCCAGCAAATCTGTTCATGCATAGGTCATAGATGTTTTTTTTTCCAACTTGTTCTGGCATTTTCCTTTTCCAGCCGTCCAAGATTTAGTCATAGAGATAAAAGCAACCAAACGGGTCGCTAAGGAAAGTAAATTAAGCAAACTAAAGTTAGATAGAATAGAACTCTCTTCTTTTCCACATAATGCTTTGTCTCACAAATTGTTTAGATGGATTGATTCACATATTCCAAACTAAAGCAAAAAAGATGAAACACAAGGCGTGAAAAATAGCCCCACCACGGGCAAATTTGATCTAGATTCTAGACCATAACCATGCAACCATAAAGTGTACTCTGTTCATTACTGTCGCATTCGTGGGAGGGGAGGTAGTACAACATTGACAGTAAAAAGGAAATTGAAGCCACTGATTGATACTCATGAGTCATGAACCTTTTGATTTAATTGCAATAACCATACGATCACTTACAATTATAGTTCTTGGTGACTGGTGAGGGCTAGTTAGACAGAGAAAAACATTGGACTGAAAAACCATTCAACTTCAGCAATCACAAAACACTAAACAACAACAAAAAGCTGCATTCCATTCACACATCTTACTCCACAAACATTATAAGCTTGACAGGTCATCAAACTTTGTAATCAATACAAACTGTTACATAATACATACCAAACAACAAAGTTACGAGTTAGTTTTTATTTAACTCGCGTTGACCATAGAGTCGTACATCAGCAATGATGGCAAAGATGATGAGGATAATGAAGTTGGAGATGGCCATAGCTGTGCATTCTTCTTAACCTTGGACACACTTGCCAAAACCCCTAATGGTGTCACGTGTCCAATTATGGTTACTTTCTTTGCCTCCATGTCTATATTGAATGATGTTACCCCTACAAAATACACAATAATACTATTAGTCAATTATATCATTAGATTCATCTACATAAATTTTGACTTTCTTAAGCTACTGAAGAAACCATAAGACCCACAAGGATAAATATGTAACAAGATATATATGTTCTAATCAAAATGTGGAAATTATTACTATTATATATATGTAGTTACCATTATTTGAGATACTATTGAACGAAAATACAAACTAGTTATCAACAAAATAAATAAATCCTTCACATCAGATAATACCATGATAAAAAAATAGTAGGGAAGTTGATCTCCCATTACCAATGGAGTCTATCTATGTTGATTGAGTATTGTGCATGAGTTATTATAAAGTGGATTGAAGAAAAAAGACTGACCTTCCATTTTTGAAATATGTTTTCTAACTTTTCCCTCACAGGCCTTGCAGTGCAATGACACCCTCAAAACCACAACCTGATTTTGCAGGGTGGGCTTGTGTGAGGCGATTTTATCAGATTCGGACACCCAATCAATGAAGGGTGTGTCACTGAGGAGCAGGGACGGAGCCAGGATTTCAATACTGGGGGGCCGAGAATAAATTCCAAAGTGATACCACATAGCAGGCCGTACCAGAAGTCCAAAAGTTGAATAAAAAAATAAATTTGGGTTATTCATTTAATTATACATATGAGTTTATATTAAAAATAGGGGGTGCCATATAGTAATATATATGTATATAAAAAAAAATTAAAATTGTTGGGGGGGCCGTGGCACCCGTAGGTCCCCCCTTGGCTCCGTCCTTGCTGAGGAGATATCTAGAGGATGATGAACCATTATATAGGTTGTTAAGTTGAACGGAGCTTTTTCTGCGTACGTCACCGTTTTGCTTATCTGCTGAGCTCTTTCTGTGCTTCTCGCTATGAGGCTTAGGATTAATAGGCAATCTGAATGAACAAGGGACGCCAAGTTGGCTTTTCCTTCGAATCCTTTTGGTGCTTCTACGTGCCTTGGAATGGTGATCTGTGCTAGAGGTTACTGCTGTGGAAGTGCAGAACAGATTCATTCCTTTCATGGCTAGCTGTGATGTGTTTGAGTTGAGAGAAATGGTTTGCTGTGCAGTGGATGAACGAAGAGTTTGAAGAGTTAAGACCATCCCAATGAGGCCAACTAAACTTGCTTTTAGCTTTGAACTTGAAGGAGGATGGGAGGGAAAAGGAAAGGTGAGTGAAAAAATTAAAATAGTACTATGTACGTGTACGTCTCTCTGCAAAGTAGTGGGCTAGTTCATTTGAAAAATGTATGATATGAATCCCATCTTCAAAACCATTTTATCTTTTCTCTTCACAAAACTTAAATGCATCAATACTACTCGTAGTTCATTTTGCTTTAACATAACATTTAATAAAAGAATTTATTATATATATTACCGTATTAAATTATAATAATATATTACATGTAAGTTTTATCTTTCTTTTTTCCAAATTTGAGTGCTCATCTAATTTTTAGTGTGTTTGGAAAAAAGTTACGTTCAACGTAATTTGCTTTTAATCAAATGGAACAAAAGAGTTATTTCTCGTTTAGTGCATTGAAATGTGTAAAAGTCCGTTAAATGGATTTTAAACAATAAACTAAACACACTTTCTCTTATAGTTGTGGAATCAACAAAGCTTTTTTAAGGATAACCAACTTCATTATGGACATATCATTGTTGCACATAGGGCAGTGTGACAGTGTTTGTTCGTGACTTCGGGTACTTTTCCATAAAGAACTTGCTTTAAATAAATTATGACTCTGCGAAATCTTGAAGGTTGCTCCTCTTCACATTCAATTCTTGAATTTTGAGCATTAAGATTATACATTTTAATGGAATAAAGCTGTTAAATTACTGCATATCCACCTTGATCATTGCCAACTTTTGTCTTAATTTATCAGTGTTTCCTGTTTAAACTTCCCCATTGTATAATAAATCATTACAAAGAAGTTGCATCTTTGTTAGACAAAAGGGCATGCATGGCGCATTTATAGATTAATCATTACGTGTTTTTTCTGTTTCCCAATTCTCACCCTGCCATTTATCTTTATTTTACTATCTTCAGGCTGGTGCATAAGTAATTTTTATTCTTCCAATGAAATAAAATTAATCTGGCAAGCTTGTTGTGATTCTTTTAGAGCATGATTCTTAAAACTAAAATAGAATAAATAGGCAAAAGTAATGGGGTAACGTACTAGTGCACATGGACTCTCGTTAATTTCTGCGTGGGTGCAAAAAGAAACGTACCCTGTCTAGTTGCAGTCGATCTTTTAAGGCCCTTAAAGATGTGAGTTCTTCAAATTCTTATGTCTTGCTATATTTCTTCCCTCTTTGTTTCTCTTTGTAAGTTTGTCAAGCTCGTCAACTAGCCAGGAACACGTATAACTTCGATCAACACTTGCAACTTTGACCACATGTTACATGTTACAAGACCTATATTAGCCACATGATATTATGTCACCCTATGGAATTAACGACTTTAATTATTTTCCAGAAGCCTGCAACTAGCAGCATTAGTATCACCAACTGAGGTTAATTGGCCTCCTATATATTACACAAGTTTGTGTGAGAAGAATGAGTTCGGGAAGGGTAGATTATATTATTAGTGTAATGGCCATTTAGTTTTGAAATTTTGGAAATGGCTACTTCTTTTGTCATCACAGTATATAAAATACAATATTAACTATTTGGTACTCTCCTTAAAATATTTCTCTTTTAATGTATAATTGTTTAATTACATTACTTCTTTTGACATTTATAACAAAGATAATTTAACAAAAATATTATAAATTAATAAAGTTTAATGTAGATAACTAATTTTCTTAATATATTTAATTGTTTTTTTTCTTATAGTAAAGAAGAGAGAGAGTACCTATGATATAAAATAAGTCATGCACACGTCCAATTACCCATCTGTGTCACCGCCAAATGCAAACACAAAAAGAGCATCCAAAAATGATATATTTATTCATCCAATTAAAAGTGATAATATAAAACTAAATATGTATCATAGTATGCATATTCATGTAGAGTGAATATAAAATTTTAAGCATGCGAGTAGTTTCACTACTATTTATGGATTCCAAGAAGTATATCATTCATAACAGATCATTATATAACTTGCATCTACAAATAAGTCATGTCCTAGTAGACCCAAGATAAACCAACAAGTAACCCCAAGCGTGTGGTTCAGTAGTAGGGGTTGATCCACACTTAAGCAAGGTCAGGGGTTCGAATCTTGCCTTGTGTATGCAGCCGCGTTAAATCTTGGGCTAGTTATCCCACCCTTTGAGATGCTTCCAACATAGCGAGGAGATTAGTCATCGCTATCGGCCCTGGATACTCCAGGGACAAACCTAAAAAAAAAAAACACTAACAAGTGCAACAGAGGAATATCTATTAGTAATAATTAGAAAATAAAGATTTGTTATTACGAGTTAAAATGCATTATCAACATTATTATTTGGTAACAACTAAGTAATTGAGGAGTTATTTTTATGATGTTAATAAGAAGTGATGTAATTAATAGTTAAGAGTTACACTACTATAATTAGATAAAGAAACTACCAATTCAATTCATGTATCTGATGTGTGTCAAGAGTAATACAATCTTCTCAAATTTTGAAGTCTCCTTTCCAATATTTTCTCTAACAATCTTCTAGCGAATCCAGCAAAACTGCTAGCTATGCACAAAAGCATTATCTCCACCAAGAAAGAGTCAAGTAGGGGACAATAAGAGAAAAAGATCAACCATCCATGACATAACATTAGACTCTCACTTGGTCTTTTTGGAACAATTTTCCAATCCAATCCGTGAAATGAAAAAAAAAAAAAAAGATACGCTCACGAATGTGTTATTCAAGAAAAAAAATGATACAATCAATCTTTCAGAATTGCATTGATTCAATAAAATGGGCAAGAACAATGTGTGTTATTGACTTATTCTTAAGAGAGTACAAGGCATAACAAGTGACCATCACACAGTATCTAACTCTTCTTACATGAAATCGCAATTCTTAAAGCCCCTCATTTCATATGCTGAAATATTATGTGGTGGATTCAACTCTTGTTCTAGTTCTTGTAACATGTGTTGGTCAAGGTGGTGTTGAACCCTGGTATAATGCTGGTCAATGAAAAGGGGAAGTTGGTAGTGACATGGTAATTGTTGGATTGGGTTGGGTTGATCTGTGGAGTTGTGATGGCTTGGTGAGTGTAGCATTTTTTTTATTTGAGGGATTGGATTGGGAAATTGCTCCAAAGAGAGCAAGTGAGAGTGTAATGTTATGTCATGGATGCTTGATCTTTTCCTCTTGTTCTGTTTGACAATTTCTTGACGTTGATAATGCTTTTGAGCATGGCTAGCAACTTGGCTGGAAGATCTTGTCTTCACAACATGCCGGGCAATGTTTTTCCAATTTCCTCTACCATATTTCTGTACGCCTTTCAGAAATAACCTGTCATTAAAAAATAATGAATATATATTTCAAAATCTTTATTCCTAACAATTGAAAACAAGAATCTTTTTCTTTTTAACATTCAAGAAATGTGATCATATATTTGGAAAAACAAGAAAGAAGTAACACATGGAGTAAAAATCCAAGAAAAATCGTTGTTAAGAGAGAAAGAAATGCAAAATGTAGTTCTTTCACACACATACCAGTGTTCTTCTCTTGTCCAGCGGTCATGTTTCTTTTTCTCAACTATATTCACCGCAGCTGAATTATCCTTCTCTTTTTGAACAAGTCGATCCATTTTTTTTTCTTTCTATTTCACTTTTGGAGTTGAAACTTGAAAGAGATTTTCGTTGACTTCCACTTCTGCTCCCAATATATAGTGTGAAGTTTGTTGTAAAAAGATTGACAAGAATCTCTTCCTTATCAAATTAAGCCGCAATTAAAAAGTATAAGTCAGCCTTTTCGAAATTATCTCATCATAACTTCCACTAGTTTAGTCCATAAATTAGAATTAAATTTAAATGTTTTAATAAATTATAATTTTATATTAATGTTTTAGAAAATATTCTAATATGTGAAATATTCATTAATGAGTTATAATACACATCAACAAAAAAAATAAAAATCCATCATGTTAATTAAACCACCACAACAGTTCCCTCCCTTATCATAAGTATGGAAATAAATAATTTAAGACAAAGTTTAGATATATAGGTCCAACATATTCTATAAAATTAAAAAATAATTTAGATTTATTATTTATTATAATCTTTTTTATAGGTTTTCTATTAAATTAAAGTTTAATTTTGATCTATTATTTATCATAATTTTTTATTTATAAATTTGATCTAATCTTTTTAAAAGCATGACGTATTAACTTAGTCTTTAATTAATATTTTTACCTTTTTAATGTAATTTATAATCAAATATACTAATATAAGTTGAATTGAGAGGTTTAATAATATATATTAAGTCTTAGATTCAAAATTTATTATCACATTATTACAAATAAATAAATAAATTTTTTGCAGCATAATTTAAAAAATATTAATTATTTCCTCTAATCTTTATTATGAGATACTTTTAACGAAATCATGCGGACTAATATAAATAGTTATATTATTTGGTTTGATTAAATTAATCATAATTTACCAATTTTATCCTTTAATCATTATTTATGTTAAAAAAGTTATGAGAAAAAATAAAGAGAAGAAGAAGAAGAGATAAATGAGATAGATAAATAAAAAGAGAAAAGGAAAAAGAGATCAAGAATAAAAGAAAAGAGAGAGAGAAAAAAAGCGAGAAAGAAAAGAAAATATGAGATTAAAAAAAAAAGATAATAAGAAGAGAAATATAAAATGAAATAAAGAAAAGCAAGAAAGACGAGTAAGAAGATTTAGGAGAGAGTCTTAGAATAGTGAATTAAGCCTAACTCAACCCTATAAATCCGGCTTGTAAGGTGAGGGTTGCATTCCACTTATATACTATTCAATTGCCTAATCTCTAGTCGATGTGGGACTTGGGTTTTTCCCAATACACCCCCTCATCAATGGTGGGTGACCCATTTTTAAAGTGGATCTAAATGGCTCTGATACCATGTTAGAATAGTGGATTAAAGCCTAACTCAACCTTACAAAACCGGCTTGTAAGGTGAGGGTTGCTTTCCAC